AGGTTCTACACCCAGGAACCCACCAGTAACCAGCTGCCTTCAGAAAGTCTGCTACTTTCCTGCAATGCAGGCACTGGCTTTTTCCTTCATTCTTAGGAAGCAAAAGCTTAGGGTAGCATGTAACAGCCCATGATACATCACAAGAAACTCCCCCAAGGACCAAAGGGTCCTAATTTCTAGGGATAGAGCGTGCGCAGAGGAGTGGGGAACAACGTTGCCCTACCTTGCCTTTCCTCTGCATTTGCCTAGAGCAGCCTGCCTTCCCCTTGAGGGGATCTTAGTGCCTTTACTCCTTGCGACATCTTCTTGTTACTTTCCCACTGCAAAGGCAGCTCCAGTCTCCACAGCCAGTCAGTTAAATACACCTTGCTGCTGCTCTCTCTCCTTTCTAATTCATGCCTACTACTAGTCTCTTCTCCAATCCAGAAATATCTAGAATCTCACTTCCCTTTAGCTAAGCTGACTACACCCTGTTGCCTAACTTGCTTTGGGTAATGAAATGTAGGCTGCAGTGATAGCAGCATTAAGCTGCAGTGTGTGACCTGTCAGTACTGTCCTCTCCCTGTCACCAGAACTGACTTTCCAGGAGGAGATTCTATCAGCAGAATTCCCAGAGAAGGGATTCCTGGCTGATGTGCAATGTGGGCACATGCACACTGGGTAGGGACATGGGATGGAAGCAAAGCAGTCATTTGTTAAGTGAAGTCACTGGTGGCTGCTGTCTCATGCTCTAACCCTTCCTGAGATGGCTTGGGAGACTGTTGGGCCCAGGCTCTCACACTGCCCCTCTGAACTGTCAACACAAGCTACTGCAAACTGCTGCTGGTCTCCGAAAACCAAGTACAGCCACTTGGAGTGAACATTCAGAGCCTCTTACATACAACTGATTAAATGTTGAGAATAATCAGAAAATATGTAGACCTGCTCTCCAAAAATTCATATATAGTATTTTCTTATCCAGAAGGGTTCTACAGAAATATGTGTCAGATGAAACCAAGTCATAACTTCAAGAGTAGAAAGCAAAAGCACAGAATGATTGTGAGCCATAGCCAGCAGATAAGGGGGTTACCAGGTGAGATCAGTTCAATGCCCCCGAGGTTCCCCTACCCACACGGGCTCCAGTTCCAATGAATGGAGACTTTACTAAGCTGTTTGCTTACTCTTCAATTTTGTGTTAACCATGCCTTAAACCTGGACATGAATGTAGTCATTCTCTGAAATAAAACTGCATATACAGTCCCACAAATGCCACTTTCAGAGTTACCTACACACAGCTCAAGAGGATGAGAGGGTGATGTGACTAATGCTTAAGTCATTCCCTCCC